AAGCCCGGGACAAAGGCAGGAAGCAAAAAGCAAAACACGGAAACAAAAACAAAGCAAGAATCAGAAAGTGAAAAGGACAAATAGGAGGCAGAAAGCAATAAGATTAAAATAAACATGCAGAAATCGCAGACAAATACAAGGAGTCAGAAAGCAAAACGAACAGAAAACACGGGAAGCAAAAAACAGCAAAAACGAAAAGCAGAACAGAAAGTCAAAAAATAACAATTATAACAANNAAAAAAAAAAAAAAAAAAAGGTTCCGAAAGCAAGAAGCAGAACAGAAAGCAAACAGTTAAAACAACGGAGACCCGGTAGCGACATGAAAAGAGCCAAAGGCAGAACGTAGGCGGGAGCTAGAAACCAAACAATAAACAACACCAACAAATACGATTCCTTAGCATATCATTGAAGGAGCTCCTGCTCCCCAATTCACCCGTTCTGATTTCTAATCATTGATGGACAAGCGGCTCTGGGAAGCTGCTGCAACTGTTTGGCATGATACTAGAAGTCCCGAGACATCATGTCCAGGGGGGGCTGCAGGATTCACCGAATGAGTGCAAAACTGTGACACTGTGCCCCTCCTGACCACCATCTTCTTGCACTGTCTCAAATCGGCCGAACGTTGTTTCGTGGTCCTGTCCCTTGGCAACCGAGGCAGCATAAAAGCGTCCCCAATCTAACACATTCAATTCTCAAACAGGATGCATGTGAAGATTGTGGGTCCCTATCTGGTTAGGTCTCTGGAGCATGAAGGAGTTGGGAACCTGCTACTACAGCCATTCAACTTGGGGCATTCGCGCGGATATGTGCGATGATCGTCTTGCCATCGAAGACTTCGAGTTTGCGTACCTGCTTGCGCGAGGAGACCACTCAGGGGGACATGGTGCCGCATGTAATGTAGCTACTGCGTAGCTACTGCACCCGGAGATGTGTTGCGCAGGAGAATCTATGCAAGGCGAACGCAGCTCAGCGCACAGTTGCCCTCTAATTAGTTGCTTCTCATGTAGGCCACGTGGATGTTGATTACGTGGAGATTTGTCACTTAGTGTTTGCAAGGTCCCACTGATGCCCCGCATCTTGCAAATTCTGAGTCAGGGCACCCGGTTCTCCTGCAGCAGCGTCAGCTTCAATGGCCATTCCGTCACCTGACCAGCCAACCTACATCAATTCCTGTGGTGGTATGTCCACCTTCTCTTTGTGCGAGAACTATCCCTGATTGCAATCGACACTCTTCTAGGTCATTGGGAAGCCAGGCCTGCTTCTTCGCCGTCTCCTCCTCGAAGCCAAGGATGTTATCCTGCTTGCAGTGACAACCAAACCAGTTAAAGCTCGTCTTGTGCATTGGAGTGGCTCCTCAACGGAAGCCTCAGCTGACCTTCTAGTCACTCATAGCGCATGCCACTTCCCAAACAGACTTGCTTGGGCAATATTTGGGTAGCCTAATTTGGAAGTCAACAACAGGCATAGGTCAGAAGCGGACAGCAGAGCGGTGTGTACGCCCGACGCGCAGCCACAAGTGCTGGGCACTTATTCATATTCACGATTGGCCCATCCGCAATCCGCACCTACTATTGGTCGGAACTCCTGAAAAAATTGAAGGGCGGCTACAAGTGGAGCATGATCGCATTCCATTGCATAGCCCGTATGGGCCACAAGTGGGGATTTAGCATCCCTCATGATTTCGAACGCGGCCCTGAGTCCCACACCTCCAGAACCTCACAACCCTCCCAGGAATCTCACTACACATCTGTATCACATTATGAAATTAAACCCCCTGATCATTGTTTGATACGGGCACCCACTTTCCGTATGAAGTGAGCCCATGATGTAGCCGGCCTGTAACTAATCTAGCCACTCGGCAACTGAGCTGTCTGTCGGCATATCAACCAGCCCCGCGTGTCCAAATCAGAAGATGGCACTATGGCGTGTCAAGGCTGATCTTCACAGTTTAGCCTATGTAGCCTATGTAGTTGATTTTCTGCTTAAGGCCACCGGCTGCACAGACTTGCGCTTTCGCTCCTTGTTCTCGCCCCAAGCAAAGACGGTTCCGTTTGTCGACAAAGCGAACGTGGAGTTCCTTGGACTTCATGTCAGGGCCCTTTCTACAAGCATTCAGTCGGGACAGCGCAAGCTCGCCGAAACCGAAGTCGGGAGTTCCAAAGAACATGTAGTTGAGCACTCTTGGTACGAGATCGCTCAGGCCAAAGCTTCACCACCACAATCTGCACGATTTGTTCGTTTGCCAACGCATCCACCTGATCCAAACTCCCACTGACACTGTGCTGGGCAGCAAGCATTCCAACGAAGCGCACCATGCAGCCAGCTGGCAGGAAGAAGCCTAGATGTCAAAAGTGTTTTAGAAAACCTCACTGCTCTCCTATGTTTCCAACTCCCTGCCAGGCAGGGCGCACATTTTGAATAACACGCTTCCGTGGCAGGGCCAATACGGTCAGCGCTCGCAGTGCTTCAACATTAATCAGCATTATAAGTCCATGCAACACTGCGGTCCCGGCCTTGCAGGGGATGTAGGACATGTCAAACTTGCCATTTCCAAGCTGACCCTTTCCTCCATTGCCCCAGCAAAAGACCTGCAAAACATTGGCAACATTTGGCAACTCTTGATAGCAGCTAATACTTTGTGGAAAGCCAGCTGTCGCCACTTCCTAGTACAATACAAGTCTAAGTGGATGCGCAAAATGCTCGGAAATCCTCGCTGACGTCTTCAGGCCTCCCCTCCGGTCGTGAGTGCCACGACATGTTCCGGGCCCATCTGCACGTCCATAACCTCAGGAGCTATAAATTCGTGTCTGCACATCTTAGAGTCACGTCTGCCAAACTTACGCCAAAGAACGGGCTGCGGGAATTCCGGGCTCTCGCAAGAAACCATTCTGATTTGGTGACACTGTATTCGCCCCGCCCCAAATCACTATTGTGCCAGAAAGTTCCCTCAGCAAGCTCTGTAAGCTGGCAACCTCTTTGAGCGCAGCAATCTGCAGCGGGTAGGACAAAGAAGCTTGAATGGAATTCAGGGACCTATGAGCTCACTGCAGCATAACAGCGGCCTCTTGCGGCACATCGCGGTTGATCACTGGCGCTCCGCTGTCCTCGAAGCCTACGAAAGCTTGCAAAGTATGGCAGGCGGCGGGACCCCATTCCACAAAACACAGACTGTGAACAAGCGTCAAACAGAAGAGGTCTAACTTCGTGGGGCCTCGATGAGTCCTGAATTCCAACTCTACGCACCACCTTTGGAAAATCTCTTTTGCAACTAATTGGAGACAACAAACTACATGACGCATGCGAAAACTGCTCCAGGGCTTCGTCCCCCCTCTTCCAGGTCTGCGCCTAGGCCAAGGCATCCGGACTTCATGTCTTTGCCCCACGAAACGACCTGGTGTAAGGGACCGAAGAGTCGCTCCTGCTTGCTCGTGAGAATTCATAAGCCCTCGAACTCAAAAAAAGAAAAGACATACAAAAGAACACAAATGCAGACTGCAAAAAATGGAATTCGAATGTGGTACTTCACGGGCTACTCGTGTAGAGCAGCAGAGCCTGCCCCCCAGGACCTACAACTCTGTATTCATCTACTCTGACTCTTTCAGTAGCCGTGATATTTGAGGCGTAGTAGCGCATCGTAACTTGGTTCCGGCAGTTCATGGAGGGGCGGACGGCAATGCACCGGGGTGGCATTGGGCGGGGATGAGGGAGGTGTGATAAAAGACTATGAATAAAGCCATTTTGGCACTTGTGCTCAAGCGTGTTGCGCCATTACTGCTACTTCTGTTGCTCTTAGTTCTGGGTCGGCAATTGTTGTTCAGGACAGTTCAGGATGATACTTGTAGTGACTGATAGAGTGGAGGCCACGGACGAATAAGTGAACATGGCCTTGTCAACGGGACGATGCTCCTTTCCGGCTGCTGACAGCATGCTGGAGCTCATGCGCCAAAAGAAATTTCACAACCTTGCTCCATTGGAAAGCGAAACTGGCCGTGTTCTTGTGGCGATTCTTGTCTTTCTTGATGTTCTTCTGGGTTGTGTTCTGCTTCCTGTGGTCGCGGTGGTGGCGGCAGGATTGTTCAGGTGGTGGCGCACCGCTAGGTTATCGCATCTCTTTTGACTTTTCGGGTTAGTCATGGAAAACATGATCAGCTCTTTTGCAGCCTAACTCCCAACCTATGATCATGTTGGTGAATCTGAGGAAACTGTGGATATTCTGAATCCGGCTACCGGTTGCGCTGCGGCGTGTGTGACTTAGCTCGCTTAATCAGGCCTTGCCATTCTCGGTGAGGCCGATGACAAAGCTGTCTCCCAAAACCTTGCCGTTCAGGCCCAATTTCGAAGGCCAGCTGCTGGCACCGTACACACCTGAGCCTCCGGCAACTTTCTTCAGCTGCTGGGGCACCTGCACTTGAAGATGCTTCCGCACTTGCTCTTGCTCATGGTGATACTGAAACATATTTGGTCATCCATAACGGCACGGTGCTTTTGGGTTTAGGGGTGAAGTGAGGAACTGGTCATGTGTCACAAGATCCAGGTGGCATGCTTGGTGGGCCCTGATGGTCAGCCGAGCCTTCTTGGTGAGGAAGGGCTTGGAGATCACCCTACCAAACACACAGTCATGGAAAAGAGAATTCTTCACGCAGTTCCGGTGGTATACGGTATACAGTACTCACCTACTTCTCAGTTGTCCAATCATGGCAGTGTTCCTGAGCTGCTACCCTTGCCTGTTCTTCCAGGTGCCCCAAAGGAAGAAATTGTTCTGCGCCGCCGAAGGATCCATGGCCGTGGCCATGCCTGGGTAGTTGGCTGAGGGTTGCCAAACTTGCTGCACTTGATAATCCAGGACTGGGCACACGCATCTTGGCACTTTAATTTCAGTGCAGGCCAAAGGGCTCAGAGCTGGCCCGACCGAATGCGAGGCTGCGGAAATCACGAGCTTGTATAAATGTCTCTCGATGTAGGGTGCATGTGGATTGCATTGCTTGCTTAATCCAATCAACCCGAATGAAATGCATGAAATAGCCTCTAGGACATGTCTCCCTTCAAGGTGGCGTGCATGCCTTCCAACTTCCAAACCGCAAGCGGCTTCAGGCTCGAAAATCTTGCACCCTCCATGTTGAACATGCAACATGCGCACCACACATACCAATATGTAACTGGCATGCGGAGTCCTGTATTCTGCATCTCCTATCTGATTCTAACTGCTGGCTACTAACAGTGGCACACAGTAATTACTTGCAATGCGCATGCTCAAGGGATTCTGAAAGCCCTGGGCTGCTTGTGAGCTAATGGGTGCGAATGGCCAGTCGGCTCGCACAAGAATACTGGAAAAATCTGGAAAACATCATTAGGGCTATATAGGGGTTAATATGGGGATAATGGAAAATAAAATGGAAACTACTATATGATAATAGGGGTTATATAGGGGTAATATTAAGGTTATTATAGGGGTTGTATTAGGGATAGTTGCAGAGTCGGGTCATCACCACGCTGCATTTTTTTGACGCAAGCGCTCACTCCGACGCCTTGGCGGGGTCAGGCAGGTTTGGGGCATCGCTGGGATGTGGTTTCGGGCTGAAGTTGGACGCCCACAGATTGCTGTGCTGTTGCAAATGTCTTTAGCAAACAGAATCTACTCCAAAGTCAGATGAAACCACACTGACGATTTCAAAAAGACATGCCTCAAATTGAGTTCTGGCTCCAAGGCCCGGGCTGCAGCGCTTGTCGCCTCAGCTTGCAAACTGCCAGGAAGTGCCAATTACTTTTCTTGCCAAGCCTACATTCTCTTCCGGAACAGAAGCTCTGAATACTGTGCATGGCTAGTTGGAGCATGCTTCGGAATAATCCTGCACTGCTTATGATTTGTGAGTTGCTGTAATGGCAACCATGGAAACCATTGTCGCAAGGATACTGCACTCTTGTCGCGAGTATACGGTACTTAGGGCTTTGGCGGGCAAGCATGCTTATTCCGGCAGCAGGCCCTCTCTGATCCTTGCACTACGTCCACATTTTCGCATCTGCCAAGCGTTTCAGAATTGAACCTTTGCAGAGAACCTGAACGCTGAAACAAAGCTGAACGTTCCCCATCTCCTTGCAAGGCTTCGTGGTCTTCATCCTGTTCTAGCCGATCCCCATAAATGCTGACAGCTAGTGCTGAGCAACCCAACTGCTCAAAGTTGCGCATCTCCAAGCTGAACGAAGTTTGCTGCGCCTGTCATGGTACGACGCGTCATCAAATGTCTTGGAAATTCACAGGCGCATCATCGTAAGCCGGGAAGGTAAGCGAGCAGCCATCAAACAAAGAACTATTTTGACCTCAAGACTTGCCCAGCACCTCGGCGAAGATGCGCTGCCAATGTGCTTTATCTGCCTGCATCAGAATCCCGGGACGGCACTTGGTGAACTGCGAGGCCTACTCAGGAGTCATAGCGAATAGGTCGCAATCGAACAGAAGAGAGGACCCCTCAATGCAATCGATCACTGTGGTTTTGCGCAACATCGAAGTCACCCAACCTCATCATGGGCTTTTTGCGCAGCTGCCCGCAGTTCTACCTCCCAGCCGCTCAACTGCAAAGCTCCAACGGCTCCTGCTCCTCTTCGCATGCAGAGCCTACAACGGTTGTTGTACAGGTCCTTTGGCAGCTGGCTGTTGCTTGAACATGGCACCTCCGTCTCTTCTTCGAGGTTGCAAGCATGTTGCCGAAGGCCAAATGTTTCGGCCCGCCTTAGCAACCCCCAGACCTGTCAGCAAGCCCTACCAGCTACAGGGTGCAGCGAAGGCAACACCAAACATAGGGTATGTTCCCTGCAAAAATACCAATACTACCAACAAATGAATGTCCTGCTTCTACGCTTCAACTACGACAAGCGCAAACAGGCACAAACATCCTCATCCAAGATCTGCACATTTCTTCGCAAGTTCGCGCATGAAACCTGAAACATCGGCGACTGAGAGGACTCAACTAGATTAGCGTACTGAGCTGCTGCAACTAACAAAACACCCAATTGTTCAGGAGATATCCGCTTTAGCAAACTATGGCTCAGCAGCAGCTTGAGAAGGATACGCAGGAGGAGATTGCATGGGGACTGCAAACAAACTGCAAAGGAAGCTATCAACGACAGTACATGTCTGTGGCGTGTCCCGATTTTGTGCCCAAACATGGAAACGCTGGGGTCCAGGCTGGGCGATGTCTTCCTTTTCAAGCTCACTGGAAATGTTAGTATTCAGTGCCATTGAAGGCGCGGATGCTATATATATATATCAAAATGCAAGATTGCACGACCACTTCGAGAATTGATATCGTTACCAGAGCTGGAAAGCGGCCTCCCGCCCCATTGAAACCGCGACCATTTTCAGCCCGGCCTCCACTTAAAAAGTGACAACAAGTCTGGTGCAAGATTCGTGGTATGTGGCTCCAAACTTACACGACAGCTCGCGGATGATGTCGGCACCGTGAATTCTTCTTGTCAGCACATGTGTGCAAAACATTGCAGATTGTTTGTTGCCAAAGCTGCTGGACAAAATGCCCAAAATCGAGCTGCGGGCCTGAAGTCGTGGTGGCCGTGTTTCAGCAGCCTAGGGTGACAAATTAATAAGTTGACAAAAACCGAGCTTTCGGAATCTGCTTCACATTGAAACCAGATTCGAACATCTAAAAAGAAGTTCATGTGTGAGTTAGCTACAACATGAGTTTCAAAACCATGATTTGGGTGCTTGGTGCTTCCACACGGGGTCTGCAGGTTGGCGTGTCAGGGAGATAGCTGGCTGGATGAGCTTTGTTG